GTTTTTTGTTTTTGTTTAAATTTTTTTTTTCAGTGTTAAGATAACCTTTTTGGCCATGGAGACTTTTTATTAGTAATCATTTACTATTACAGTTATAATGAAGATACAACTAGCCACACATGCACCTTTGAGTATTTAATTAAGTAGTCCACCTGCAGGTTCTACACTAGATGCCATACCTATAACCCAACTAGGGAGTTATCTATTTAAACCTTCTGATTCTAACCATTTTTAGCATATCATACTAACCCAAGAACTACCATCTGGCCTGTTCCACTAGATTGCGCATCTTGCCTTAGGACTTCTGTGATTTATTCTAGATTTGTATCAACTAATTACTGGCTTGCATTCCTCTATTAAGCGAACACACAACTATCCTCAAGGTAAACCTACCAGAGCCTTCTATATCCTGTATCCGGCTAACCCAGTTATTGCAGTTGCCAAGGCTTTCACTTACAGTTTGGTATAACCCAATTGAACCACTATGCCCTTGTAAGGTTCACTTCAACCCCAGTACTCATATTTGGGTTTTCCTTTTTTCATTTTTGTCTTATTGGTTTCTCTTTTACTTCCAACCTGTAACCTAGAAGATTTGACCCTGGCTAGGCTCTAGGTGCCTTGTGCCCTGTCTTATCATGATATATGATTTATAGCACATGTTCTTTTCTTCCAATTGGGTCTGGCCAGTCTCCAGAAATCGCTCAGCTCTTGTCATCAGGTAAAACCTAACTTCCAAATTCTAGTCACGGTGAATGACTATTCTGGTTTTCCATGCTGGCTAATTAGGTTGGTGTACTAGCCTTTTCTCCAATTGGTGATCAAATTAGTGAATCCTCCCACTTAAGGATCTTGTTGTTATTCAGTTCTCCAATTTTGGCTATTATTTCCAAATTTGACCTTCCTGTAGCATCGTCAAAAGTATCTGCTACCTCCTTACTCAGGTCTTTCCAAACGAGTTTCGATCATCCTAGTTTCTTGGCATTTCTGCACTGAAGCTTCTATAACAAGATGATACAACCAAGATTACAGATTGTAGATTCAACCGATCGATAGATAATTGTTACCTAATACAAATATATTTTTCAAAAAATATTATTCATAGGATTCGAACTCTAGACTTGCTACTTGGTAGGGTGACAACTAGACCACTTCACTAAATTGCCATATCTTTGTTTTTGTTTAATTTATTAGAAATAGAAATATATAATATATATATATTTTTTTAAAAAAATTATAATTTTTGAAATTTAATTTTTTACAAATTAATTTTAATAAATCTATCAATTTTAATAAACTTTAATCTTTTTAAAAAATTTGAATATGTTATAATCCTCTATTAATATAAAAGATATTAGTTTTGGAAATAATACTTTTGAAAATAATATTTATAAAGATAATATCTATAAAGATGATACTTATAAAAATAATATTTATAAAGATAATATTTTTCAAAATATAGAAGCTGATACTATTGCTAAATTCAGTAGTTTTCAAGATATAAAAATTGATTTTAAAGATATAAATAGTATTGAAAATATAGATGATCAACCAAGTTTTAAAAAAACAAAAAGACTACTTTCAACTGTTTATAAATATTATAGATATAATAAAAAAACAAAACAATTTAAGTGCAAGCTTTGTTCATAAGTTTTATATTATAGTATATATTTAAATTTAAATTATTTTAATAAATAAATTTAAAAATAATTTTTTTTTTAAAAAAAAAAAAATATAAAAAGCCAAGTAATTATTTAACTAGTACTTTAAGAAAACAAATTAAAAATATTCATCAAATTAATTTTTAAGAATTGTAAGTTAAAAAATATTAAAATATAATATTTAATATTAAATTAATATATTTTATTTATCAATTTTTTAATTATTAATATATTTTTTTTTATAGAATTTTAAACAAGAAGAATTTACTAATAAAATAGTTAGATAGATTGTTATAAATAATCATCCTTTTAACCTTCTTTACCTGCAGTCATTACTAATAGAAAGCGAGCCAGGAATATCTCGCCTTTTACTACTATCCCCAACAAGGCCAACAAGACTACTACCAACAGTATACCAGCTCCATTTAAATCTCTCTATAGCCAGATCACCAAAACTAACATCACCTCACTCATGATCAACACCCCAGATGATATGGAATTCACACAAGTGGTAAAAAACTGGGTATCACAAT